ACTGTTTCCTGCAACATCAAACAAATGGAAAGTAAATAATCATTATTTAATTTAAAACGATAAAGATATCTTTCAAATATATCATGCTTATCAATTCCTTAAAAAGCGTAAGTTACCTAATCAATTTATTTTAAATACATTATCACGATTATTTTCATTCACAGCGAATCCAAATTTCAGAGCAAAAGAGAACGTAATATCAAATCTTGAAGTCGCCTTCTATTATTCTTTTAGGTATGCTATTAAAAGTTTTTGTTATGATTATTCAATGTGTTCATCTTGAAGTCGTCTTCGATTTGTTTGTATATGTACCTGTTACTGTGTGTATATGTACATCTATCTGTTTGTATGTGAATGTATTTGTCACTGTTAGTGTATGTATATATTTGTAATAGCGATGTAATATATTGTTTATAGTCACTCTTTATGTCAATGGTTTAAACATTGTATATGTATCTGTTACCGTGTGTGTATATGTACATCTATCTGTTTGTATGTGAATGTATTTGTCCCTGTTAGATTAGGGGATTAAAAAATTTTGTTGTCATTCCTTGGGTTATTACTTTATATATGGAAATGGGTTCAATAACATGCAAACAGTCAAATTTTGCACGAGTTTTGTATTAATTTTTTATCAAATAAATCAATTTCGGTGTATTCACTTTTTACAGTGTGTATATGTACATCTATCTGTTTGTATGTTTGGTTTGTAAGTTTGTTTCTTTTTTTCCCTGATTTCTAATGAGCCATTTCTTTTATTTCCGTCTTTATCTACAAATGACTCTTTTGAGCCTTTGTACATTGTTTTTGAGAAAAAAATAACAGCTGAGAGGTCATCAGATTTACCCTTGATGAGTTGAAATTAGCCATGGCATGTCATTATTAATGAAATCGAAATTTGGGTATGCTTTGTTAATTTGATATACTGATTTATTCATCAAATTACAATTTTTTGTTGTCATTCCTTGGGTTATTACTTTATATCTGGAAATGGATTCAATAACATGCAAACATTGAAATTTTGCAAGAGTTTTGTATTCACTTTTTTTCAAATAGATGAATTTCGGTGGAGTTATGTATTCACTTTTTATCAAATAACGAGTGTTTAAAATCATAAGAAAGGATGCCCTTGATTGAATATAGATGTACTTTGCAGATTTCGATAAACAGAAAGTGAATGTATGTGTAATAGTATGTGAAACGATAATGTTTTCCATCTATATATGTGATGTAATATGTTTTTAAAAAAATATCAAGATATGTTTTGCAATGACTATTAATAACAGTTAAGGACAATCGTTATCGAATGTTGGTTTGTTTCTCAAAGATCCGGTTTTTTCACATGGACAATTGTATGTTGCGTTATCTAGAGTTCAAAGCAGAGAGGGATTGAAATTATTAATTTTAGATAAAGATGGTAGACTCACAAATAAAACTTCCAATGTTGTTTATAAGGAAGTTTTTCGCAATTTATAACCAACTTTTTTGTAGCATCTTTGACTCATTTTTAGCAAAGCACATTTCATCCATCATAATAATTTATTTATTTATAATTACGTATTGTATTTTTTTTATGTTAATTTCATTACATACATCTTTTGTTTGTTTTGTATCAAATCAATTTCGATGTTGTTTTGGGTTTTTTGTCGTTATTTAAACGTATGCTGCATTATATAAAGTAATGACTTTTATAAAATATGTGGATTTACATTTGTAATTAAATACTTAAAGTTTACGAATTTACTAAAAATAGAGAACATATCCTAAGAAAAACACCAACATTAAACGGATTTCAAGGTTATAGCCAGTAAGCCTAAAAAAGAAACACATTACGCAGTAAATCAAGTTAAGTTTTGAAAAAAACAGATGAAAACAACAACAATTTTTATTAATCTAACATGCAATCACCATGAACGATTAAGAAGCAGTAAAAAGTAAGGGTTTTAAAAATCTCAATTTGTAGTTAAATACTTACCATTTATTGTGTAATTAAATACTTACAAATAAAAAAGTTATTTAAAAGTACTATATAAGTTTTCTAACTTAATGATATATTATTTATTACATAATTAAATTTTAAATTCTATTTAACATTATCACACGCGGGTCCCACGGGTTTTCACCTAGTCAAACATAAATATGACATATACGATGTCAACATGCAAATATAATAACATCACCATCAACATTAAATATGGGAGAATAAACGAGGACCGAACCACATGTCTATAATCAATGACATTCAATCGCACTTAAGAGTACATTAGGGGGAGATAAATCCAACACCTCCAAAGCATACACAAGTCGATGAACTAGAATAGTTGTTATAAAATTGCAACTAACCATGCTTGTCCACTTCCTTGGTATCCCAAATGTGTCCCAACCATATTTATATCATACCACATTGTAGCAAAGGGTGCTAGCATGTCACAACTTATCATTATACATATCATAATATTCAACATTCATGCTAGAGATTGTTTTTTTCGATCAAGTGATCAACACATGACAAATCAAAAAGACTACATGACATATCAATATGATCTTTTTTTTTTGAAACGGCGAATAGAGATATATATTAAAAAACCAATAGGAAGGAGCTATGGAAACAGTACAAAGAGAGATTAAAGATGAAATAGATTTATTTACAGACAAAGAAAAAGCAAAGAAGAAAGAAATTCAAAATGGGAAACAACTCCAATCAGTCCATGTTTTTCCAGATTTACCCCTGTACTTGCACCATTCGAACGTCTGTAGAATAATTAAATTCGTCGTTTTAGTGGGAGAGGGGTGTTTTATGTGGAAGATTTTCTCGTTACGGACTAACCATATGTTCCAAACCGTCGAATATAGGATCACGTTAAGCACCTGGCTTGTATTTGCACATTTCCCCCAAGAAGCTCCAAACTTGATGCATTCCTTGATGCCTTCAAATTGTATATCATGTAAACCACACCAATTGAGGATCCAGTACCAAACCTGTTTTGCGAAACTACACTAAAAAAGAAGGTGATTCGTTGATTCGGTGACTCACCCACATAGCTGACAGTTTGGAGTTACAGGAATACCCTGTGTATAAGCGCTTCTGAGACAAGTATTCGGTCAAGATTAGCCCTCCATACGAAGCATTTGACTTTGAGTGGGATGAGCTTTGATTGATATGTGAAATGATTACAAGAATCATCTATTAGTCTCCTCATAACATTCACCATGATCAATGAGTGATTATATAATAACCATACCACGTGGATGGTCTAATCCTAAACTACATATAATAATGAACGAACTATACACAAGATTGCATACCAAATATGATCACACAATGTCATAAACATAATCAAGCATGTAGAGTTATAGCATGCATCAATTTTTGGTAGATAGTCGTGAAATCACATCGATTTTTCTAACCTTAGCCCTTTGTTGATATGCCAAATAATTCCATTTCAAACCTCATTTACTAACAATAAAATAAATTGCAAGTATTTTCCATAGCAATTTAATACCTTGGTTGTTTGTACACTTTTGTTCTCATTAGATACAAACCTAACTTTACCATCTTTTGACAACATTTTGCCCATTTATAACAACATTGGTTTATAACTAATAACATATTTCCAATGAGATTTTGTTACATTTTCAAGTCAAATATCACTTCATTAGTATTTAATGACATTAATTAACCATGTTAGTCATCGTCATTTATACAATCGAGGTCGAGGATCATCTTAAAACTTTGTTAACAATACACATAATAACAACCGAAAGTATTAGTCCATTCATATTCAACCTATTAAGGGCGTGTTCGGCAAAACTAGTTGGTAGCGGGTAGCTTGTAGCGTGTAGCGGATAGCTTGTAGCTTGTAGCGTTTTGTTAAACGCTATATGAAGTAGCATTTGGATTTGGAGCGTTTTGTTTAAACTAAACGCTAGAAGCTTGTAGTGCCGAACGAGGCTTTCTGTTCAAAACGGAGCGTTTTGTCAAACGCTAGAAGCTAGAAGCTCTCAAACGCTCACAAACGCTCTGTGCCGAACAAGCCCTAAAAGACATTTACTTTAACCCCGTACCAAATTCACAGTTCATAAATTTTGATTAAATTTGGTGAAAGCTTTTACATAATAATTGTTATTTAACATGTTCATCACCATTAAGTTTAAATCCTTAACATGCATTAAGATTTTTATGAATACCCAACATTATATAATTTGGTTTGTTAGAATAAGAAAAATATTTGAACCGATCATCAAGTTTTTAGTTTCAATTTTCGAAATTTTTTAGTTTTTAGCTTTTAAAGAAAAATTCAAGGAAAAAAAAAAGTTTATTCAGAGTAGGAGTTTTTATCTTCGGGCGTGTTCGGCACGGAGCGTTTGAGAGCTTCTAGCTTCTAGCGTTTGACAAAACGTTCCGTTCGACACTACAAACTTCTAGCTTTTAGTTTAAACAAAACGCTCCAAATCCAAATGCTACTTCATGTAGCGTTTAACAAAACGCTACAAACTACCAGCTAATTTTACCGAACACGTCCTTTTATTTTGAATAAAAAATTCATAATTCTTAAGCTAATTACAGTAGCTTGTGGTATAATCTAATTTTTCTTTAAAAACTAAAAATTATTATTGCATAGTTCTACATAAATAAAAACTACAACTTTCAGCTACCACGTAGTTTTACCGATCAAATCTAAAAATATTATATTTATAATTAATTATCAAATAATATGATTAATTAATAGGCCTCCCAAATAGTTGGAGCTTCACATAAAAATCAATAAATTAGATGTAACAGAATAAACTAGATGTAACAACTCATAATAATCATTTAAATCGCCATAATATAAATAAGATGAATCTTGAAAAATAATCTAAAAAACTGATGGGGATCATCAATCATGATTCTTCTCATGAATACTCAAAACAAGAAATAGGAATTAAAAACTAAAAAGAAAATGGTTCTCTGGTTTTTTTTAATATTTTCAAAATATTAACTACTAAAATTAAGAAAATTAATTGTCCTTGACCTCCACATGTCTCTGAGACCCGATCGAATCAAAGCGCGTTCCGGTCATCATCATCACCTTGAACTCATCAAAGCTTATCATGCCGTCGCCGTTAACATCCACACCGGCGATCATTTTCCGGCATTCCGCGATCGAGCATTCCTCCCCCAAACTCTCTAAAACATTATGCAACTCCTCCGCCGAGATCGACCCGTTTTTATCAATATCGAAAACAGAAAACGCGTCTTTCAGATTCTCCAACACCTCCGCCGAATCGATATCCTTCGTGTTCAACTCGACGAACTCCTGCAAATTTATGAATCCGTCGCCATCTGCATCCACCTCCTTGATCATGTTCTTTAATTCCTCCTCGTTAGGCTGGTGGCCGAGGCTTCCCATTATCGATCCCAGTTCAGACCACGAGATCTTCCCGTCGCCATTGACGTCGAACTTTTTGAATACTTGCTCCAACTCCTCCTCGATCCGCTCGCGAGAGTTGAAGGAGCTCGTACGCGATGCCACCGGCGGCGACTTATTCGACACCGGATTTGTGCCGTTGTGGCTGCTGTCGTCTTTGCCGTTTTTCTTCTTCCGATGAAACAAATTCTTCAAACCCATGAATACGATAGGGTTAAAATTCCTTTTGATTTTTCAACACGACAACAAATGGCAAAACAAAATCAAAAGATCGCCGAAATTTGGAAAGGATTGAAAGCGACTGGGATGAAATTGATGGATTGAAAATCTGAAAAAAGGGATTAGTTATGGATGGGAGAATTTGAGAGATGAAGATCAACGTATCAAACCCTTTTTTGTCGCCCCCTTTTTAGGTATCATAGTTCCTGTAGAATAGAGGCGTGCGTGAATGCACGATGAGTGAATGGTGCCCCTTCCTGTTTTCTCTCCGCTTCAATTAAACAAACTTAATAATGCCAAACAACACCTAACAACCAATATAAATACTTTGATTTTTTTTTTCTTTTAAATTAAGTCTTCAAATTCAAATTCAAGTTTGATTTATAAATTGTAGATAAAATAAACGATTAATTGTATAATGATCTTATATTTAATAAAATTTTCCGTTTAAATGTAAACTCTTTTTTATTCTATTTTAAAAAATCACATATATTTTTTCATTTTTTTTCTCATCTATGTTTTTTAGCAAGTTTACTGTATTCTTCGGTTTTTATAAATAAAATTCGGAAAAACCATCGACTATTTTTTATAACCCTTGACTTTTTTTTCCCAAAAAAAAAAAAAAAAAAAAACTCACACTTTTTTGTTTATATTAGCTTTTTACATTTTGGTTCATAATTTCTTTATTTTTCTTATTGTTGTTGTTATTTACGGTGTTCTTAATAGCTTTTAACATTAAAATCATAGAAAAAAAACATTTTATTTTTTTAAACACAAAGAGAAAAGATGTTGCACCGAAATTTTGTTGAAAAAATATATATCAAAATCTATCTGTAGAACATTCAAAGATTGTAGCATGTGAAGATCATTAGTCTAAAATAGCTTTGATATTTTATAATATTATTTTAATAATCAAATTGAAAGACAACTTCTGAATTCCAATCTATCTTTAGAATCTAATTTAAGCTTTCATGTTTTTCCGTTATAAATATTTTCAATCTTTGAAGTGATTTGATCAATAATAATATCATTAGATTCATTATACATTGAAAAATTCTATAATGCCAAAGGAATTTGTTGAATATTGTTGGTGCATGAAAGTGTCCCTCGGCAGCTAAGTGTTTATGGCGAGGTGTTGAAGGAGTGTGAAGATGTTTTTGGATGTGGACCAAAGTTACCTTATAACCGAACTTGGTGATTGGCTATGTATGGTGTACTTTACACCGCAACACAGAACTTGTGTCAATATTTTATTAGATGATATCTTTTGTTTAGATTTTGTCTGTAATGCATGTTAAATATGACCGTTAGTCCACTGTACTTATGCATGGTTTAGTCTGTTGAAAGTATTTTTTTTGTAAAGTACGGTGGACTAAAAATTAGTCCATCAAACTTATTTTGTTCATCATTTATCAACTTCAAGTCTTGCATACAAGCTTGGTTAAGATTCAACTAAGTTATTATCATTGCTTTATATTTATTCTGTAAATGTTGTTCTTATGATTTTCATAATTTAACTTGTTAATTTTACATCTCATTTATTGTTGACCTATTAAAGATCCCTTTGAGTTAACTTATACAATCACGCAATCATATGTCACAAAAATTTCTCTCAACAATCGGTATCAAGCCATAATGGTTCTTTAAATTATTGATGAAGAAATAGAGTTTCAAAGGAATATAATAATATTATTATGGATCAAATCAATTTTGAGATTGAAAGCATTTCTAAGAGGAATCTAAAATTATAATCCAAACATAGATTTAGAGTTTCAAAGTTGTCATTTTATTTGATTCTAGAAATAATCTAAGAAGTCAATCCAACTTACTTCATGTTCCGACCTAGAAAACCCATGACTCTGCAAGTAGGGACGGACGCAGGATTCCATAGTATGTGTGACACGGAGAAAAATAGTAGTGGCACAATAGTAAAAAAAATCAAAATTTTTTACACTACGTTTAGACTACTTAGGCGTTGTTGGTGATTTTAGTGTCACTTGACATTTTTGTGTAATTAGAACTGACATTTGAGCTAAGGGGCTAATTGTTTGTACTCAATATTATATGTTTGGTGAATGCGGAATGCAGTCATATATAAGATCGAATTATAAATCGGTACGACATAATGACAGGGGTCAAAGGGGCCACGCCCCCTTGTAGGGTCCTAGGGGTAACGATTCTAGAAAACCATTGATTATGTCATTAATTTCGAGATTTGCATAACTAATTTAGAAGATTAATCCTAATTTGTCATGTATATATACGGCTCTTCTTTTGAGCCATATACAAAGCCCTTTTCTCAGCTCTTCCTTTTCTAAACGATCTCAGAATTCACTGGCGGTTTGGTTTGTGTTTATGTGTCTAGATACACAAGTGTCCTTTTGGATTGTCCTAGACTGGATTTCCATAGGGTGGAAATATCAATTCGAAAAGTGAACATACACGATCTATAAGGACTCTGGATTTTCACCATCACCCTATTTTCATTTATCCTCCAACAGGCGTTGTCGGTGCCATTACGTGCACCATAACAAAACTGTCATTGTTTGCAAGTTAGGTTCTCTTTCAACATAGAAATCCTGATAACCATGGATCAACTTCATTCCATGAAATATAAAGAAAATGAAATCTTCCTCTTAAGGTAGTTAATTGTTAATTTTCATATGCTATAACTTTTTAGCATCCTAAAAATAAATTTTGAAACAACAAGAATTGAAGACGATATTTTTTCTCTTTGTTTTGAAAAAAATTATAAATGTCTCCTTTAGATTTTGATGTTAAAAGCTATCAAAAACTCCAACAATATGAAGAAAAAAACAGATGAATTATGAGTCCAAAAAAAATTGGTCCAAAGGAAAAAGTTTGCAAAGTGTGTCGCGCAGGGGAGTGGGGGTAGAAGAAAAAAGTTGAAGGTTTTTTCGAGAAAATTATGTAAAACCGGAAGATTGTAAGTAAACTTCCTAAAAGAGCCAAGTAGAAAAAAAATAGCAAAATGTAATAGCTTTTTTGAAATAAACAAAATTAGATTTAAATAGAAAAAATATAAAGTTCTTTTATATAATTAACCATTAAATAAATACACTGTTCAATTAATTTTGTTTTGCAGATGATACTTTATATTATTAACTTACAATTAAAATTATAAACTGGTTATATAAGTAAAACTTTATTAAGAACTTACTAAACATAGTATATTATATAAGATAATCCAAGTGAAAATTATTTTACATTTTTAGATTTGCAAAAATATTCTTAATTTATTAGGTTTATTACTTTTTTTTGTAAACTAACTTTTCATTATGTCAAATTTGTCAACTAACTAATTTTATGTTTTAAAATGATAACATGTTTTTCATATGGTTAGTTTCTATCTTAGGTTGAATAGGTCATTCTTTTCAAATTCTAACACTTTTGACACAAATTTTAATTTTTATTACAAATTCAGTCCAAATTTAAAATTTCATTATGAATTTGCCTAAAAAAAAATTAATTTATTTTTCCACAACTTTTTTAAGATTTTTTTATAATATTTTAGAAGATTTCTTTTTCTTCACTTTTTCCATTTTAATTTTGAAAAAAAAAATTAAAATCTTTTCTTAACTTTTTTTTTCCAATTTTTGTATTGCATCGTATACATTAGCAAACAACCTTTTTTCCCTACTTTTTCATTGCCTAATATGCATTACAAACCAACTTTTTAATATATATATATATATATATATATATATATATATATATATATATATATATATGCATTAACAAATGTTTTTTTCGTTGATTGTACGACACTTAGGTTTGATGAAAAACAGATATTATTTAAAATCCAAGGAAATAATAAAACACAAAAATTGTAAATGGTTATTTTGAAAAAAAATTGGTTTGCTAATATATATTAGGCAATGCAAAAGTAGGGAAAGAAATGTTTGCTGATGTATATGTGGCAATACAAAAGTTGGAAAAAAATAAGAAAATATTGTAAATTTTTTTAAAAAAAATGGAAAAAAAGTTAAGTAAAAATCTTCTAAACTATTATAAAAAGGTGTTAGAAAAGTTGTAGAAAAATAAATTTGGAGTATTTTCGTAACAAAATTATGAAGTTGGACCGAAGTTGTAATAAAATTTAAAATTCAGATCAAAAGTGTAAAATTTAAAAAAGAAATGACATATTCAACCTAGGATAGCGGGTACCCTTTTAAAACATAAAATCGGTTAATTGACAATTTTAATATTCTAAAACATTAGTTTATAAAAAACAAAAGTAGTATCAACGTTATTTTCTTCATTTTAATAAATAAGGCATTTTCATGTATAGATATTTTGAGGTGGGGTTTTATCAATTGAATTTAGTAGTGTTTTTACACATAAAAGCAACAACATCATCCGATTAATTCAATATTTTTTGAAGTATTTCTATTTTGGCAACTCCAAATACAAACTAAATGCCAAATATAAAAGATATTTATAAATCCACACATCGGATCTATTTGTTTGATTGTTTGGCCTTTTATTTGGCAAACCATTTAATGATTCAAAGGGTGTTTGGGATTTTTTATTTAAAATTAAGTTGAGATTTTCTATATAAAAAACATTAATTATGGGAAATATTACTATAATTATATGTGAAATGCATTAATTAATAATTTCATATTTAATTATGTTAATATTTTTCATTTAATTATGGTAATATTCTATAAAATTAATACATTTCACTTAGGACACATATTAGAAAACTCAACTAAGTTATGTGTTTATTTGTAAAATTGTTTATTAGTTTATTCGGTGTTATAACTGAATTTTTTTTAAAAAAAATTGAATTAGTTTATCCGGTGTCGAAACAAAATAAGTGATAGATTATTTTTAGTGATTGGCAAGCTTTTATTTTATGTGTAATAATTAACAACTTATTAAAAACTCCTTAAATAAGTCAATAAGTAGGAAGTGACTTAACCACTTGGGTTGTGGTGATTTGGTAAGGCATGTGG